GTGACATCGCAAGCAGCAGGTGGTATCAGTTGAGGAGATCATCTATATCATTGGGGGTGTCTCCACAAACTGGGGCCTAATCGGAGGAGCTGCCAGAGTGAGGACATGCTCACCACACAGTCCTACAACACTGTAACACGACAGTGGCTCTACCTCAAGGTGAACATGTCTAAAAGGGGTCTTGCCCGGCCGGGCGTGGCTCAGCCGTTGAGCATCAACCTAAGATCCAGGCGATCAGGGTTTGATTCCCATTCAGGGCACATGCCCAGGTTGTGGGCTCGATCAATGACTCTCTCATCATTGATGCTTCTATCTCTCTCTCTTCCTCTCCTTCCTTCTCTCTGAAATCAATAAAAATATATTTTTTAAAAATAAATAAAAAATAAATAAAAGGGGCTTTAACTTGACTTGTGAACTTCCTAACGATGACATCTACGTCATGAGCCAAGATGTGACCCTGTCGACCAACTTGGAGCATCGTGTTTTCCTCAAGTACAACATCTCTGCAGATAGTTGGGAAGCATTTAGGTGTTTTCCAGCCTTTGGACATAATTTGCTCATTTCCTCTATCTGCCCAATAAAAGGGAAACATGAGTGAAAAAAATAAATAAAAATAAAGATTGATTGGGGGTAGTATGGACTTTTTAATGATGTTAATTCTTCCAATCCATGAACACAGTATATGCTTCCACTTGTATCTTCCTCTATTTTCTTTTTCAATGTACTATAGTTTTCCCAGTACAGATTTTTACTACCTTGGTTAAATTTATTCCTGGGTACCTTATTTTTTTGTTTCAGTAGTAAATGGGATTGTTTTCTAAATTTCTCTTTCTGATAGTTCATTATTGGTGCATAAAAATGCCACTGATTTCTGAATATTAATTTTGAATATGGCCACTTTGCCAAATTTATTCATTAGATCTAGTAGTTTATTGGTAAAATCTTTAGGGTTTTCTATGTAAATTATCATGCCATCTGTGAATAATGACAGTTTTATTTTCACCTTTCCAAAATAGGTGCCTTTTATTTCTTTTTCTGGTCTGATCACTGTGGCGAGTGGTGAAAGCAGATATCCCTGTCTTGTTCGTGATCTTAAGGGAATCACTTGTAGTTTTTGCCCATTGAGTACAATGTTGGCTGTAAACGTTTTCACATATGCTCTTTATTATGTCGTGGTATAATCCCTCTATTAGTACTTTGCTCAGAGTTTTTATTATAAATGGATACTGGATAATATTAAATGCTTTTTTCCTGCATCTTTTATATAATTGTGATTTTTATCTTTCTTTTTGTTTATTGATTTGCAATTATTGTACCTGCTTTGCATCCCCAGTGTAAATCATGCTCAATCATGGTGTATATTTTTAATGTATTCTCGATCCGGATTGCTAATATTTTGTTGAGGATTTTAGCATCTATGTTTATCAGGGATATTGGCCTATAATTTTCTTTCTTTATAGTGTCTTTATCTGTCTCAGGAATACAGATAATACTGGCTTTGTGAAATGAGATTGGAAGTCTTCCCTCCTCTTGTATTTTTTGGAATAATTCTAGAGTGATAGGCGTTAGTTCTTCCTTGAATGTTTGATAAAATTCTCATGTGAGGTCATCGGGTCCAGGACTTTTATTTGCTTGGGTTTGTTTTATTACTGCTTCAATTTATTAGTTGTAGTTGGTCTATTCAGATTCTTCCTGATTCAGTTATGGAAGATTGTATGTGTCCAGGAATTTATCCATTTTGTCCAGATTGTTCAATATGATAGCATATAGTTGTTTGTAATATTTTCTTACACTCCTTTGTATTTTTTTGGTGTTAGTTGTTATTTCTCCTTTATTTCTGATTTTATTTATTTGAGTTCCCTCTCTTTTTTTCTTGATGATTCTGATTAAAAGTTCATCAATTCTCTGGTCCATTTGGCTCAATGATTAGAGTATCAGACTGTGGACCAAAGGGTCACAGGTTCAATTACAGGTCAAGGGTGCATACCTCACTCAGTTGCAGACTTGATCCCTGGCTCTGGTTGGGGCACATGTTGATGTGTCTCTCATATCAGTCTTTGTCTTTTTCTCCCTCTTTCCTCCTTTCCTCCCTCCCTTACATTTTCTCTAGAAAAAAAATCAATGGAAAAGATATGCTTGGGTGAGGATTAAAAAACAAAAACAGTTCATTAATATTTTTATCTTTGCAAAGAACAAGCTCTTGGTGTCATTGATATTTTGTTTTATTTTTTAAATCTCTATGTCATTTATTTTAGTTGTGATCTTTATTATTTCTTTTCTTCTAATTACTCTGGGTTTTGTTTGTTGTTCTTTTTCCAGTTCTTTCAGACGTAGGGTTAGATTGTCTATTTGAGATTTTTCTTGCTTCTTAAGGTAGGTCTGTAATGCTATGAAATCCCCTCTCAGGGCTGATTTTGCTCTTTTACATAGATTTGGGGGTTTTGTGTGTTAATTTTCATTTGTTTTCAGGTAATTTTTTTATTTCCTCCTTGTTCTCATGGTTAACCCATTCATTGTTTAGTAACATGCTATTTAGCTTCCATGTGTTTAAATGTTTTTCAGTTTCTTTATTGTAGTTGATTTCTAATTTCATGCCACTGTGATCCAAGAAAATGCTTGGTATGCTTTGAGTCTTCTTGAATTTGTTAAGGCTTATTTTGTGCCTTAACATGTGGTCTGTTTTTGAGAATGTTTCATGTGCACTTGAAAAGAATGTATATTCTGTGGCTTTGAAATGAAATGTTCTGTAAATATCAATTAAATTCATCTGATCTAGTGTGTTGTTTAAGGTCGCTGTTTCCTTGTTGAGTTTTCTTGTCTGGTAGATTTATCCTTTGATGATAGCAGGGTGTTAAAATCCCCTACTATGACTGTATTGCTGTTGATCTCTCCCTTAAAATCCACCAAGATTTTTTTTATATATTTAGGTGCTCCTATATTGAGTGCATATATGTTTACAAGGCTTATATCCTCTTGTTGGATCATTCCCTTTAGTATTATGTAGTGACTGTCATTTTCTCTTGTTATGGTCTTTGATTTGAAGTCTATTTTGTCAGATATGAGTATTGCTATCCTAGCTTTTTTTTGTTTCCATTTGCATGGAAATTTTTTCCCATCACTTTACTTTCAGACAGTGTGAATCTTTTGTTCTGAGGTGGGTTTCTTGTAGACAGCATATATATGGGTCATGTTTTCTTATCCACTTAGCTACCCTATGTCTTTTAATTGGAGAATTTAGTCCATTTATATTTAAAGTTGTTATTCATAGATATTTATTTATTGCTATGTTTCTTTCTATATATATTTCTTCCTCTTCTTATAACAGTCCCTCTAACAAAAGAATAAGAGAAATCACCCCAAAAATAATTAAGTGAAATGAAAGCAAACAAACAGTATTTCTTGTAATACTGGTTTGGTGGTAATGAACTTCTTTAGCCTTTTTTTGTCTGGGAAGCTTTTTATTTTGCCTTCATTTTTAAATGATAGCTGTGCAGGTCCCTGGTTTTCATCACTTTGAATACGGCATGCCAATCTCTTCTGGCCTGAAGGTGTTTCTGTCAACAAATCACCCAACAGCCTTATGGAAACTCCTTTGTAACTAACTGACTCTTTCTTGCTGTCTTTAAGATTTGCTCTTTGTCTTTAAACTTTGCCATTTTAATTATAATATGTCTTGGTGTTGGTATCTTTGGGTTCTTTTGATTAGAACTCTCTGTGCTTCCTAAATTTGTGTGACTTTTTCCTTTACCACATTAGGGAAGTTTTCTGCCATTATTTCTTAAACAGGCTCTTTATCCCTTGCTCACTCTCTTCTCTTTCCCTTTCTATGATGCGTATGTTCTTACACTTGATGTTGTCCCGGAAGTCCATTGGACTTTTCTCATTTCTCTTAATTATTTTTTCTTTCTGATGATCTGCTTGGGTGATTATTAATCTTGTCTTCTAATTCAATGATTTTTTTTTTAAATAAAAAGAATGTTCTTTATTTAAAACTGATGCTTTTGGAGCTTGTCTTGGCAAGGCTTTTACAAACTGTCAGACTCAAGAAAAAAAAAAAGGGAGGGTAAGGGTTGTCATTTCCCCCAAAATGCAATATTTGTTTTCCTTTTTACAACAAAGTCCTGATTTCTCAGCTTGGTACTCATTAAAAACTAAGCTTAGTGAGAAATTTTACCAAATAGTTAACCCTACCCTTGTCTTGGTAATAAAGGGGGGCTCAGATTTCAGAACAGAAGGGAAATTTAGCTGACAAGAAATCACTGTCCCAAGCCAGATAAAGCAGTGCTTTCTGAGAAGGGCAGAGCAATCAAGAAGGGTGTGTTTTGGGGAACGCCCTTAGAGATATTCTGGCTGTACCTAAATTCGTATTTTTTTGTTACTTTACTTGCTTATTGAAAGATGTTTTCTGCTTCAATATTTCCCAAGTAATTGAAACCTGACAAAAGGCACAGACAGGTTTTAGGAGACANTCAAGATTTCCCAAGTAATTGAAACCTGACAAAAGGCACAGACAGGTTTTAAGAGACTTTCTTCAGTGGGTTTTGCTTGCAGTGGGGCTTAGGACCATTTCTTCTGGACAAATTTTCAGAAACTGGGTAGGGGCCCTGTAAGTTGTAGTATGTGAAGGTTCTCCCCCCTCTTCCTGGCCTTGGAGAGTATGGGAACCCTCAATTCCCACAGTGCATTTACATACATTTTTCTGTTTGTCTTAGGGCCATCTCCAGGGATAGTTAAGAGGAAGAGTATTATTCTAATTTTAGAGGCCAGTAAATAGAGTGACCTCACAGAGGTTATGAGACTTGCCCAAGATCATATTGCTAGGAAGCAGTGGAACCAACACACCAAACCAGTCCTCCCAATTCCAAGGCTGGTGTGTTTTTATGTAGGTCACCGCTCTGCTCGCTTCTGCCTCTTGGAAGAGAGAGCTTAGGCCTGTGCCTATTCCTTCTTCGATTTCCTTACTCATTCCCAAATGCCCCTCCTCACTTCTTCTCTGACACCTAGTGTTCTTTCAGCTGCATCTCCTTGAGCCCCTCTAGGCGGACCCCAGGCTGAGAGGGCTCTTCCTTGTCCTTTGCCAGTGGAGCCCGATACTCACCCCACCAGGGCTCAGACCCCCTCGGTGCTTTGCTGCTTGTACAGGTTGGGGTGTAGCTGCTAGGCTGGCTCAGGGCCCTGATGAAGTGCTCGTCCACCACGGAGCTGATGTCCTCCTGGAAATACGTGAAGAGCACGCCGCGGGAGTTGATGTACTCGGCTTCTGGTGGGCGCTCCTTCTCCGGGCTGCCTTCTTCCTCCTTTATACTGGCCGGGGTTTGGCTGGAAAAAGAGGAGCTGCCGCTACCACTGCTGTCACTGGGGCTGGCGTTGCACTCTTGGGCTTCCTGCATTTTGGAGTAATAAGCTAGCTTCTGGTCCAGCCTCCTGTGGCCCCAAATGTGATCTTGGTCTTTTCCTGGACTAGAGTCCTCAGTTTTCACTACAGCTGGTGGTAGGGGGTGTAGGCGGCTGCGAAGTAAGGCTGGTGAGGACCGTAGACTTAGTACAAAACATCTAGACAGCTCATGGCTCCCCACAGCGGAGACGGTTTAGTCTTCTCATCAACTCTTGGCCCACGGAGCGCTGGGATGCTGCATGAGCGGTGCTTGGATCCCACCTCCTGTGCGGTGGGCCGCGGAGCGAGGGGCCCCCGCGCTCCGCGGCTGGGGNNCGCTCCAAGGCTCCCCTCCCATCCCTGCAACTCCAGCCCCGAGCGCGCTCCAGCACCTAATTCAATGATTTGATGCTCTGCTTCATATAGCCTGCTGTTGATTCCTTCTAGTATATTCTTCATTTCAGATATTGTATTCTTTATTCCTGATTGGTTCTTTTTTAAAGTTTCTATGTCTTTTTTAATGCTTACTATCTCTTTAACTTCTCACTGAGAACTCATCTATCCTCCTCTCAAGGTCCTCGAGCATCCTTATAACTATTGTTTTTAACTCCGCATCTGGTATTTTGTTTGCTTTCATTTCATTTAATTATTTTTTCTGGGGATTTCTCTTATTCTTTTGTTTAGGACATTTTTCTTTGCCTCCCCATTTTGTCTCTGTGTATTAGGTGGATCTGCTATGACTCCCAAACTTGTTTTGATGGCTTTATGATGAAAGTTTCTTGTTGGGCTCAGTGGCACAATCTTCCAGATCACCTGAGTACCATGCTCCACGAAAGATTCTTGTGGTTAATGTGCACCCCTGTTGTAATTGAGTCTTGCATGCTCTTTGACCTTTTGTGGTTGGAGTTAACCCTTCAGGCTGGGTGACCATAAGGGTAAACCTTGATCACCATGTTTGAGATGCTATACATGGGATGCCCACCAAAGTTGGGTTGTTCCCAGCAGGGTCTGAGGACTAACAGAATCCCCTTTTGTGTATGCTTCTTTTGTGGCTAGTAGGGTTGAGCTCTGGTAGGTCTGAAACCCACCCTGGTTGTGTTGGTTCTGAGTCCTCTTGGGTGGGGTTCAGATATAGGTCACTGCCTGGTGTTGTGTGTTAATCGCCTTGGGCTACTTGTCTGTAGCTTCCATGCTGTTCACTGTTTGTGTCTGTGTCCGCTGGACTTGTGTGTACATGGGAGGGGCCCTCTGTGTATAAAGGTCAGATTCTTCCAGCTTAGAACTCAGGGATAATGTATAAAAGAAGCCAGGCTCCCTAAGGTCTGCCTCCACCTCCCCCTGAGGTTGCCACGTCTTCTTCCATAGTCTTCCAAAGGAAGACTATAGGGTGAGCCAAGGCTAGCCAAGATCCACAGCTCATTCCTCAGGTTGAGAGCTTTGTAAGTCAGAACAACCAGGTTTGGAGGGTAAGGCTAGTGGTTCCCTTATTTGGGGATCAGGCAATCAGGCACTCAATGAGGGGAAAGTAGTCCCTGCTTCAATGGCAAACTACTCAGTCTCTGCCAGAGTCTCCAACACTTGTTCTCCCTAGGGGCACTTGCTGCAGGTTCAGATTGAGTACAGCAGCCACCCTCTCTGAACTTGCAGGAGCAAGTTCAGCAGTCCTGGGCTCAGGGGGATTGATAAAAAAAAGTTTACCATTGAGTATAATGCTGGCCCAGCTCACTGGAGGGATCTAAGCACTCTGTCCCACTCCCAGACAACAGCCTTAAGGGTTTCACAATTTGAATGTCCCTGCCCTGAGCCACTCTCCCTTTCAGCCATGTAACTGTGCCAAGCAAGGGTATCGTGGACTTGGTAGGAATGATCTAAACAGTCTCTTTTGGGGAGTGGTGCCTGCAAGCCTGTAAAAGGGTGCAGGCACTCCCCTTTCCTAGGATAGTGGGAGCTGAACTCACAGGGGCAATTGGATTTGTCTCCCTGTCATATAGCTACACAGCCCAGCATTCGCCCATCTGTCTGCCAGACAGAAGCCTCCCCAAGAGATAGTTTAAAAATTCCAGTTCTTAACACCCTGGTCCCCACACACCACTAAACCAAGTAGGACAGGGCTGAAGGTCCCAGCCCTGCACTGCATTCTGATTTCTCCATGTGACTGGCCTCAGCAAGGCAGGGGCAAAAGTCCCACCTCAGTGCAGCTTCCTTGCACCACTGAACCAGCAAGATGGGGCTGAAAGTCCCAGCTCAGTGAAGCTTACCTGTGCCCTTAAACCAAGATGGACAGGGCCAAAAGTCTCAGCTCAGTGCCACTGAACTCAGCAGGATGGGGCAGACAGGTGGGAGGAGGGGCACCGGCTATGAGGTCAAAGAGAGGGAGACCTGTCCTCTTTCGCAGGCCACAGTTTTGTCACTGTCTGGGTCTGTGACAAAAGCTTCCCCTCCAAAATAGAGAGCCTGTTAAAGTCACTGCTGGCTAAAGCTAGCAGACTTCTCTGCAGGACCCAAGTATGGCAGCATAGCCTCATCAGTGGTCAAAATCTGAACTGTGAACTTTCAAAACTGGTGCTATAACAATAGAAGTGCTCTTACTTGGGAGGGTGCACTCTGAGTCTCCCAGGCAGACTGATTTTCACTGCCAGATGGTATGCAGGTTCCTCTTCCTTTCTTTATTGCTCTGGGTTGAGGATCCCTGTGTGGGGTGGGTACCCCGCCCTCCTAGGGGGAAGGAGCTCTGCAACCACAATATTCATTCAGCTTCTCAGCTGCCACCGTACCTTAGTGTAGGGGGCTATCCCTTTATTTGTCTCCACCTTCTTACCAGTCTCTATATGGCCTCTTCTGTAATCCTTGGTTATAATATTTTAGTTCAGCTAGCCTCAGTTGGTTTTTCTGGTTGATCTGTAATTTAGCTGTAAATCTGGTTTGGGGCTGGGAGCATGTGGGCAGCCATCTTGGAATTTCTCAACATATGCTTTCAATTCTCTTGGATACAGGCATACCTCAGAGATGTTGCAGATTCTGTGCCAGACTTCTACAATAAAGTGAATATTCCAGTAAAGCAAACCACAAATTGTTTTGGTATCCAAGTGCATATAAAAGTTATGTTTACATTATACTGAGCCTTCAGTGAGTGGTAATATTTTTGTTGGTGGAAGGTCTTGCTTCAGTGTTGATGGCTGCTGACTGATCAGGATGTTGGTTGCTGAAGTTGAGGTGGCTGTGGCAATTTTTAAAATAAGGCAACAATAAAGTTTGCCACAGCAATTAACTCTTTTTATCACGACCTCCTCTGTAGAATGTGATGCTGTTTGATGCCATTTTATCCACAATGGAACTTCTTTCAAAATTGGGGCCAATACTCTCAAATACTTCTGCTGCTTTATCAACTAAGTATAAAAAATATTATACATCCTTTGTTGTCATTTCATAATCTTTACATTGTCATAACCTTCACAGCTTCTTCACCAAGAGTAGATTCCATCTTAAGAAACCAATTTATTTGCTCATCCATATGAAGTAATTCCTCATTCATTAAAGTTTTACCATATTATAATAATTCAGTCACATCTTAAAGACCCACTCCTAATTCTAGTTCTCTTGCTATTTCCATCACATCTGCAGTCACTTCTTCCAATGAATGATTGAACCCCTCAAAGGCATCCATGAGGGTTGAAATCAACTTTCAAACTCCTGACAATGTTGATATTTTGACCTCTTCCCATGAATAATTAATGTTCTTAATAGATTCTAGAATGGTGAGTCCTTTCCAGAATGGTTTCAGTTTACTTTGCCCAGATCCATCAAAGGAATCACTAAAACATGTATAGCCTTACAAATTGTATTTATTAAATAATAACATTTGAAAGTCAAAATTACACCTTGATTCATGGGCTGCAGAATGAATGCTGTGTTCACAAGCATGAAGACAGTATTAACCTTGTATATCTTCATCAGAGCTCTTAGGTGACCAGGTGCATTTTCAATGAGCAGTAATATTTTTAAATAATCTTTTTCACCAGGCCAGGCATGGCTCAGTGGTTGAGCATTGACCTAGGACCCAGGAGATTAAGGTTTGATTCCTGATCAGGGCACACACCCTGGTTGCAGGCTTAATCCCTAGTCGGGGATGTGCAAGAGGCAGCCGATCAATGATGACTCTCTCATCACTGATGTTTCTATCACTCTCCCTCTCCCTTCCTCTCTCTGAAATCAATAAAGATATGAAAATAATAATAATAATATTTTTTCTGTGAAGCAGGTCTCAACTGTGGGCTTAAAATATTCAGTAAACCATGTTGTAAACAGATATGCTATCATCTAGGCTTTGTTTTCCATTTATAGATCGCAGGTAAAGTAGATTTAGCATAATTGTTAAAAGCCCTAAGATTTTTGGAATGATAGCTGAGAATTTGCTTCAATTTAATATCACCACCTACGAAACAGTCAGCTCGTCTTTTGGAGCTTTGAAGCCAGGCACTGACCTCTCTAGCTATGAAAATCCTAGATGGCATCTACTTTCAAAATAAAGCTATTTAGTCTACATTGAAAATGTGTTGGTTAGAATAACCACCTTCATTAATTATCTTAGCTAGATCTTCTGCAGCTTCTCTATCAGCACTTGCACATTTATGTTGTGCAGACAACTTCTTTCATTAAACCTCATGAACCAACCTCTGCTAGCTTCACAGTTTTTTTCTTCAGCTTCCTCACCTCTGCCTTCAAAGATCAAAGAGAGTTAGGCCTTGCTCTGGATTAGGCTTTGACTTCAGGGAATGCTGTGGCTGGTTTGGTCTTCTATCCAGATCACTAAATCTTCTCCATATCAGCAATAAGGCTGTTCTGCTTGTTTTATTTGTGTGTTCACTGGAGTAGCACTTTTAATTTCCTTTAAGGACTTTTCCTTTGTATTCACAACTTGACTAACTGGCACAAGAGGCCTGGCTTTCAGCCTGTCTCGGCTTTTGACATGCCATCCTCACTAAGCTTAACCATTACTAGCTTTTGATTTAAAGTGAGAAGTATGTGACTCATTCACTTGAATACTTAGAGGCCATAATAGTGAAATTAATTGACCTAATTTAAATATTGTGTCTCAGGAAATAGGGAGGCTAAAAGAGAGGGAGAGAGACTAGAGAACAGCTCATCAGTGGAGCAGTCAGAACACCCACAACTTTATTAAGTTTGCTCTCTTA